AAAAGAGGTCTGGATACAGACAGGGATGTCATTATTACTTTTTTATTCATTATTTTCATAATGACTGTCATTATGCACAGGCTCTGATTGAATTCCATTTTGCTAGTCAGGTATGTGGCGAGCAGAATAATTATCACTTAAGTGATATTAAGATTCATGCTAAACATTTTCATGGTCAGAGCCTCTACACGTTTGGCAAAAAAGGACCTGTTCATGTTTGATTATGAAATAAAAGAGAAGAGGGGGGGGGGGACATGTTTTTTTCCCTGTAAAAATGTTTTTTTTTTAATGAGTTTTAACTGATTAGAAAAGAGTAATACTGCAGACCACTTTGAATTATTTTAAACTGCCATTATTTTCATTTGCACAGTCAATCTTTAACCACTTTACTTTGCTCAGCATGCAAAATTCAAACAGAGTAATCAACTCCTATATAAAAGTGATAAGATGATTACATCATGGAACGTGTAATCATCAGTGGGCTAATTCATTTACAGCATGTGAAGTATGAGAATTGATTAAATCCTTGCAGCCATTAAAAACTCTCTTGTTTTTTGCAAGCTGGAGGATAATGTAGGGTTTTATTTTTAAGCTGCAGAGAGACTCATCCCTAGCTGTACTTCCTGTCTGGGTCCAACAGAAGAATCCGACTGGCTCCGACAAACCTCCGCTGGGAATCAGGTGAAGTTCGGAAGTGTGAGCATTATCGATCACATTAGTCCTTATACAATGTACCTTTTATCTCTAATATATCTTCTTATATCTAAGTATGTAAGTATGTATGACAGTATCTGACAGCATATATGGCAGAGTGGTGTAAAATAACTAAGTAGATTTACTCAAGTACAGTACTTAAGTACCCTCTTGAGGTTCTCCTACCTTTTAGAGAGAATATTGTACATTTATATATACATATATACACTTTGTTAAATATATATAAAATGTGAATGAACATTATTTAAGGAATTAAATTTAAGTAGTTGAAATGAATCACCAGCAATATTAAAATGCACCTTACACTTGCATGAGTAATAATAATCCAGTGATATAATATATAAAAATATAAATGACCAATGACACATACTACAATATTTACATATTTTTTAGGGTCTCTTCTGTACTTTTTTCCTCCAAAATCCCAATAATACTTGGATTAATGTTATAAGTTTGTTCATAAAAGCTCTAACAGGTCGACCTCTCTAACTCCAAACATAAGTTGTTCACTATGTAGAATAACATTGTAACAAACAATAAGGGACAGATAGACAAAAGGAATATATATATAAATATATTATATATATATTTTTTTTTTAAAAGGTCCTTATATGATAAAAAACAAATAAAAGGTAAGAAGAGAAAATATATATATAAAGGAAAAACATTCTTTTTTTTTTACACATTGCCTATTGGATTCTTCTCTGTACAGGTGAACTTTGCCATTTGAATTGTCTGCTGAGTTGATGTAAACAAAAACATGCGCTCACTCACACACACAGAATAACCATGTTCCTCATCTTTCTGTCTTTCCCTCCCTCTCTCTCTCTGTGTCTTTCTCCGCCTCACACAGTAGCAGGCGGACTCTCAGCCTACCAATGCGTTCAGTGAGGGGGGATTTGGCTGGGGCTCTAATCAATCACTGACAGATTACCTCCAAAGCCACTTCCACAGCCATTAAAGCAGGACAAATGCAGAATTGCAACCGAACAAGTTGGAGTTTTTAAGCCAACACCAGGACTTCCTGGTTATTTGTCAAAGTCACTGCCGCTGAGCCGCATGAGTGGCTGCGCGAGTGTGTGGGGCTCAGAGGCAAGCCGGCCAGGCGTTCACATTGTGTGTGTGTGGGTGTTGGGGAGAATGAGGGAGAGAGCGAGAGACAGTAACAGAGTGAGTGAGTTATTGTTAGTGTGTGTTTTTATGCTCTCAGGTGTGTGTGTGTGTGTGTGTACGCACGCCGTCGGCTGCTGCGTCGCTCTCGGCCCAGTGGAGCTTACAGTAAATCACATTCCCTTTATTGCCAAATTTAGCAGCTTATGCTCAATAGGCTCTGCTCAAATCTACGCCGTGTCCCATCAGGGCGTTAGTCTGGGCTCATAAAAGTGGATTGGCCACACACACCACAGCCTCTGAGCAAAGACGACTCATCCCCTCTCCTTTTTTTCCCTTTTTTTTCCTACATTATTTCCCCTCTTCTTTATCTGAGCAACTGGAAACACTGTCTGGGCTTTTCTAATCTCCCCTTTTTCTCCCTCTGGATTTCCTGCTTTGAGATTGTCCCCCATTCACTGGGGCTTTGTTTATATCAGGCTATATTTGATAGAAGACACTAAGAAATTGGATATCATCATTTTCATAGCCTGTATTACCAAGGGAACACGGCCTATTCTAAATGTATTGTACAGTTTATAAAGACTGGACATTTTATCCTATAAGCTTTCTTCTTTACCTAAATTGATTTTGACGTTTTTATGTCTTGGCAGACATGACGGGTTAAGTGCTGATAATTATTTGGAAGAGATGAATACAAATATGAAATGTGTCTCGAGGAGGGTGGCATCAAAGCAGCCGGGGGGGTTTGTTGCATGTTTTCCCTCTTATACTGTGAATATGGAGCATTTGGAGTACAGGATTTGATTAGTGTGACATTCAATGGGTCCTTTGATTAGGCACTTATTGTGGAAAACGCCTTTGTTTTTGCCTCGTGTTAAAGAACGCGCCTTGTACTTCATTTATAGCAGCGATTTCATAAAGAACACGTGAGGGATAATATCAAATCTGGGTGGTTTGTCCTCCTTTTTATTTTATTTTGAGAGCGTATGGGGGGGACGCACAGAAAAGTGCAGTGGTGAAGTGATGAGGGCCGACACTGAAGTCCGCAGGCACTGGAGTTGAAATTTAGCTGGTCATGTGACTATGACTCCCCCCACCACCACCACCGCCCTCCTCTCATGACCCCGGAGAGAGAAAGGAGGAAAAAACACCCCATACCAACACAGGAGGCGGGATTGTATTTGCAATTTGTGTGTGTGTGTATCCTTTTTGTACACTTGTGTGGGTGACCACGCTGTGTGTGTATATATATGTGTATGTGTGTCCCCCCCCCCATTCAATTAAGAGCTTAAGCTCATTAGTGGCAGACTTACATCATTACCTCTCCAATGGCTAATGAGTTAAAATCTATTTAGATTTATGTTGCCGTTAAATCACCTCCACACACACACACACACACACACACAAATCAGAGAATGTGTCATAAAATTAAACCTGAAATCGTCCTGTGACTCTCCATAAGATTTTTCAGATCAACATGGGAGCCTTTTATAGCAACACTGCATATTCAACACACTTGAATTATACCTTTGCCTTCGGTATGTAAATCAGAGAGGAGAGAGAGGGCGCTGGGTAATGTATCTGAACACTATAATGCGCTACAAAGCCCTGTTTTCCTCACTTAAACCTTCAAGACGCCAATTTAAGGCTTTTTTCTAATGACTAACTAATAATTAGCGCCGCATCACAAAAAAAGAACAACACTTCTTTACAAAGCTATCACACAGCGATTAGTTGAGTTTTCAATCAATTCTAATTACGCTAACAAATCCTTGATTGCATTGCAGGCTTGACAAATTTAATGAATTGATGAGAGAGGGGGGTGGAGAAAAGAAGACAATTAATATGAGACAATGGAGAGTGAAAGGTGGAGTTGTAGCTCTCAGTAATACAGAGCTCAGGCCTGCAGGAAGGTTTAATGTGCTGCAGCCGGCGCTCTCATAAACAAAGACTGGGAAGAACAGCAGGTAAAGGAAGGAAACAATCCACTTTTCTACATATGCTGCTCACCAGTGACTCAAGGGCATCATGTTTGACTGCATGTGCACGTGCGCATGCGGGCGTTGACCTCAGCACAGGATGTATATATATATAGATATAAATGTGAGTCTGTGTGCCATTTGCTCTGCCCTCCACATTGTATTTACATCCTGCACCCTTTTATTAACCTCACCTTCAATCTGATTTGCCCACATTAGGAAGAGTTTCAGTGCTACGCGCCACTATCAACTTGTGGGGGTGATTAGGAACAATGAACTGACAGTTACTCCATCTTTGATGTCTTGTTTAAATCTGGTCTCCCCGCTGATGCTTTGATAACTCGCTAACTGGGACATTTTCATTCTAATTAGGGCTTCAATTGCTAATTCCATATTGCTGCTATAATTATCACTGGGAGATATCTGAGACGCCGCAGTGAGATTTCGGGGCAGACGGGGAGGCGGGTGTGCAGATTTGCCCCTGTGTGTACTTCTTTGGGTTCCCAAGCTGCGGCTAGGGGGCTTCTTGAGGGTCCTCCAGTGCGCTATAGAAGGACTACAGCTTCATAGTCTTGAGGTGAGGTAAAGTATATCCTCTATTGTTTTGCAGCTCGTGTCAGAAATTATTGCAGAATTTGACCAAACATCAAACAACTTTCAGGAATAAAAAAGCCTCTATGACTGATTAATAAATATTTTACATTATTACACACACCCAACCTAAATAAAATGTCCATTTTAACAAGTGAATCCCTCATTAAACTAAATATACTGTAACTCTACTTGTCACAAATTCTCTTAAAGTGAATGTGCAGCAAAAAATAAATAAACGACCATCTCACCTTTAATGTGTTAATTTGGGCAAGAAGTGACTGTTAAAGTGCTCATCTCCTGCAGTGCAGTGGCTCCTCACTCTGCCTCTGGCTCCCAAACACTCTCCTCTTTAACGCTTCATCTTTTCCCACCATTTGGACTCACTGTGTCAACCTCGCCACACAAACCAGACGCCCATAATAACCTTATGGGCAATAATTGGAATTGAGGATTTCTTTCTTGCCTCTTTTTTTTTTTTTTTTCTCTCTCTTCCCTTTTCTCCCCTCTCTTTTACTCCCCTTTGGGCGCATGCGCAGTGATGAGCGTGCTGGTCAGTGTGAGAAGCAGCTGTTCGGGGCTGGTGAAATTCCAACATGGCAGTAGTGGCTGTGGTCAGTGTTTTCCTGCGTTAACTTGGGATGGTTTCGGCTCGCACGCAACCGGGCTTCACCTCGGCACCCCGTTCCTCCGCAGAACCCCTCCCCGGGATTGATGCGACCCTAACCCCAGCCACGTGAGAGGTCGACCTGTCGCTAAAAAGCAGGTAAGGAGGGATAGTCTGCGTGGAGGGGGGGGGGAGAGGTAGGG